CAGCCTGGACAAGAGTAAAACTCTGTCTCAAAAAAAAAAAAAAAGACACACTTAATACACTTAAAGTGTATATTAAGTATCTTTTTGGTCCTGAGACCAAAACCTTTAAGAACTGCTGCTCTAGACCACAGGACAAAGTGGGGCTCCTGTCTGCTCCTCTACCTGCTTCCTATGCTTCACCCCCAGAGCCCCACCACGTTGTCACTCACCTCTCAGCACACTGGGCTGACGGCAGGATGGCATCTGACAAGGTCACTTTGCTGTGGAATGACCCAGGTCTGGTACGGTTGCTTGGTTGGTTGGCAAAGAGAACATTGTAATCCACACATCGAAAAAGGAAGGTTGTGAAGGTGACAATGAAGATGAATTGTCTGCCGGGAGGAAGGGGGGTGTCAGGATGCTGCAGTGATCAGGGACAGCCATGTGGGCTCCTGTCCTGGCTCCCAGAGCCACCCGGGGTCATCCTCCCCAACCCTGCCCCTGCTGAGCCCCTGGGCTGCTTGGGAAAGCACGGGATGGAAGCAGCAGGCATGATTAAGGAAGCAGATGACAGGAGGAACACATGGGCCCAGGGGACCTAGTTCCATGGCTGGGCTAAGGGTCTCACCCCAGCTGGAAGACATCCTCCAGCAGGATGCAGGCAAAGCCATTCCTCTGGTGGTAGCTGTAGATGTGGCCGAATGTCAAGGAATAAGCCTGAGGCATGATGGGCCTCTCCTGAGGACACCTCCCCTCAGCCCCAACACATCTCCCACCCATGACGCCCTCATAGAGTCTCCCTGCCAAGAATAGTGTCAGCTCTAAGGGGACCTTCCCACGCCACCTTGCAGGCCTAGCACAAAGGATATCTTGGTGAAGAAGCTGTCCAGGTTCTGGATGTGATGCCAGGAGCCTGGGCACAGAGGGGAAGAGTGTCAGCCCCTGGCACGTGATCAGTTCTCCACATTCTCAACCCGATGAGAACTCAACTCCAGCCTGGGGTAAGTACTGGAGCTCCCAGGCACCACCAACCAGCTCCCACCCACACCCACACACATACCCCGGAGCCCTTCAGGGACGTGAAGGAGGGGTTGCTGCTCCTCCCCGTGGATGGGTGAGTCTTGGGACCCCTCAGGGTCACAGTCCTCCAGCCGCTCATAATCCTGCTCAGGGATCAAAGGGCCTATCCGCAGCCCAGGAGAGTCCTGGGGGCACTGGTGTGAGGGAGGGGCAGTCACTGAGGCCAGGGGTGGGGTGGAGTGGGATCCCCAGGAGGGGGATGTAGAAGCAGGTGTCATTGCAGGTTGAACCTGTGTTGTGGGGGTGGCTGGGGTGGGGAGAGCGCTATGGCAAGGCTGAGAAGCCCCTGTCCCCTGTAGCACTGAGCAAGGGGCCCCTGGGGTGACAGGGGAAAATGAGGAGGGAGAGCTTCTTGTATGAGGGGCAGGGGACAGAGAGAAGATAGAGATCCTCCCTCCCGCAGGTCCCCGGAGGGAAGGAGGAGGAGGAGGTGGCAGTGGCATGGGGAGGAGGGGCACCGATCCAGGCCCCAGGTCTCCCCACCGTCCTAGCCGCCCTCTACTCCTCCCCCAGCTCATTCGGCTCACCATGAGGCCACGGCTTCTCCAGAAAGGATGGAAGGATGGGAGCTGTTGCTGCTTCCACGGCAGGAGGTCTGTGATGCTGAGCTGGGACTTCAACAGGAGCTGTGACAACAACAATACTAGGTGACTCAGCCCAGGCAGGCCTCAGGCGTCCCAGCTCTCAGTCACCTGCCTGATCACTCACACCCCTTCCAGGACAACCTTAGGCCAAATCCTTCAGGGCCTGCGAGGGGCATCAGTTTAAGAGCCAGGGCCTGAAGAGCACATTGAGATGACAGGAGATCCCTATTATCTCCATCTTCGGACCTTGAATAAATGAAAGATAAAGAGAGCAGCAGCCAAAATGACAAAACCAAAATGCAAAATGGTGTTAGAGCCAGGTGTGGTGGTGTGTGTTTGTGTTACTAGCTACTCAGGAGGCTGAGGTGGGAGGACAAGTTGGTGCAGGTTACACTGGGACAGTGTAGGTTACAGTGAGCTAGATCTAGCCACTACACTCCTGCCTGGGAAAGATTCCCGTCCACGCCCCCCCCCCCCCCCCAAAAATCCTGTTAAAGGATTGTAGCTGGGCATGGTGCCTCACACTTGTAATCAATCTCAGCACTTTGGAAGGCTGAGGCAAAAGGATTGCTTGAGGCCAGGAGTTGGAGAACAGCCTGGACAACAGAGTGAGAAGACTCCATCTCTACAATAAATCAGAGAGCCAAGATGTTAAATATTTCATTTCTTAAGAGTATACCTCCCCTGCTTCCATCCACACACACACGACAGTGATCAACAGGGAAATATTTTGTGAATAAAGTAGAAAAGAAAAAGAAAGGGCCAGGCACATTGGCTCACACCTGTAATCCCAGCACTTTGGGAGGCTCAGGTAAGAGGATCACTTGAGGCCAGGAGATCAAGACCGGCCTGAGCAACTTAGGGGGACACCATTTCTATGAAAACTAAAGAAAACACTCAATTATTTTTTAAAGACTAAGAAAAGGCTGCATGTTTTATTGGTCTGAGGGGCTAAGAAAGGGAAGTGGAGGAGCCTGATTTTGCAGCCAAGTTGGGGAAAACTAAGAAGAGGAGAAGACAGGAAAGGCAGCTGTCTTGGATTTGAGAGTCATTTTGGGGAGTTTAAAGTAGAAAATTGGGAGGCCATGCGTGGTGGCTCACGCTTGCAATCCCAGCACTTTGGGTGGATCACGAGGTCAGGAGTTTGAGACCAGCCTGGCCAACACAGTGAAACCCATCTCTGCTAAAAATACAAAAATTAGCTGGGTGTGGTGGTGGGCACCTGTAATCCCAGCTACTTGGTAGACTGAGGCAGGAGAATCACTTGAACCAGGGAGGCAGAGGTTGCAGTGAACCAAGAGTACGCCACTGCACTCCAGCCTGGACAACAGAGCTAGACTCCGTCTAGAAAAAAATAGTAGAAAATTGGGCTTCTCTGAAAGTTCCATTCTGTTTCCATCCTTATCCTTTTGAAATTTGACATTCTCTCATGTCTGGATCCAACTTCTGGGACCTGCTGAAAAGCATCCCGGCTGAATCAGAAAGGAGGACAGCTGTGAGTCTGGGACTTGGAAGGATAATTTGAGTGCCCAGGGAGGAGCTGAAATGAGTTCTTTGTTGTCACCTCAACAAGGAGGAGGAGGCCCAGGCAGCCGGTCTGGTGGCTTGCCCAACGCCATTCTTGAGGGCCTGAATCATGAGGTTTCCTTCTAAAGCCCATTCCTCGGATGCTGACTCAGCCACCAGGTGTCAAGGTTTCTAGGGCTTAGGCCCAAGGGCTGATGTTGGGGCCAGTATCCCTGAGATGGAGAGATGGACACTGTGCTTCCCAGACTGTTCACCAAAGGCAATCATGGAATCACCCACAAAATCAGGGTCCAGATGTGCCTGATTTTTCTTCTTCTGTGTGGAGTATTGTAGTAGTAGTAACTTAGGTCTTGTAGGCCTTTATCTCTGAGCAGGAGGCAGAGCTATGAAAACAAGACCCGTCTTTCTAGAGGTAGCAAAATAGAATCCCACATTGCAGAGGGGCCAGAAAATTCTTTTTTTTTTTTTTTTTTTTTTTTTTTTGAGACGGAGTTTTGATCGTTACCCAGGCTGGAGTGCAATGGCGCGATCTCGGCTCACCGCTACCTCTGCCTCCTGGGTTCAGGCAATTCTCCTGCCTCAGCCTCCCGAGTAGCTGGGATTACAGGCACACACCACCATGCCCAGCTAACTTTTTGTATTTTTAGTAGAGATGGAGTTTCACCATGTTGACCAGGATGGTCTCGATCTCTTGACCTCGTGATCCACCTGCCAAGGCCTCCCAAAGTGCTGGGATTACAGGCTTGAGCCACCGTGCCCGGCCAGAAAATTCTTATAATCTTTCTGAGACATCTGCCAAGATGGGTTACGTGGATTTTTGTCTAGTCTCTCCCCCACCTCACTCACCCAATGTCACTCAATATCATGGCTATTCCACCATAGTCACAATAGGTCCCCTCCCTATACACCCGGATTCCCTTGCCCAACCCTAAACTAATCCTGGGACATTGTACTACCTAGTTTAACCCTGCATTCATTCTCATTGACACCTACCACCACTCCCAAGTTAAGTCGATTTATAATAAAGGGCACTTTTCCTTGTCAAGCATTTGGAAGGGAAGGGGACAGATAAATGAAACAGAGCCACTACCCAGCAAGAAGCTGCAGCCCAGTGGAAAGACAAATACACAAACAATTACAGGGAATAAATAAGAGTGATGCAAACTCTTGGGTAGGAGCCTGAGGCAAGTCTTTCTGATCTGGGTGATGAAGGCATCTGTGAGGCAGAGAGATCTGAGGCCGCGCCTTGATAAATTACAGGACCTCCATACCAGTAGTTCTCAACAGCTGAGACGTAGGGCAAGTGTCAGAATCACCGGGGGAGTTTTTCCCCAAGTAAACGTGACACATGCCCCAGCAGTTCTGACCCGCCTAGGAGAGCGGAGTGGGCAGCAAGGCATATGTATGCGTTTTGAAAAAACTCCCAGTCCATTTGTGTTCATTCCAACCCTAGAGCCCGCGTTCTACACTCCCTGGAGACAACCGGACATCTAAAGATCCTTGAGCCTTAGGAAAATGGCCAGAGGTCGGCGGCTGACGCGTTACCGTGGATACTCCGGGTGGAGGACCTAACCGCGCACACCCTGATGACGTCACCCCGAGCCTACTGGCGCACAGGGCAAAAGTCAAACCCACTTCCTGTTCGGCTCCGCCCAGAGCAGGGGACGGGAGGGTAGGCTATTCTCTCCAATCACAGTTCCGAAAGGAGGAGTTCTAACAACGTATCCTCCGATCACAGCTTGCAACAAGATTGATGTGTCTTTTCACCAATCACTGCCTAGGCGCGTGGGGGTTGTCGGGATGGGGGCCGGAGCCAACATGGAGCCCTCAGTGGGATGAGGGTGAAACTGCTATTGCCGGCTACTCCTGTTTTCCCGCCCCAGCATGCTGGTGCATTTATTTCGGGTCGGGATTCGGGGTGGCCCAGTCCCAGGCAGGCCGCTACTGCCCCTCCGCTTCCAGACATTCTCAGCTGTCAGGTAAAAAGGGAAAAACCTATTCAGTGCGGGTCATTGACCGGCCGGCAGGTCATTTCCAGGCCCGCCGGGAGATGGAGTCCGCGGGCTCGCACGAGGCTTGCTGGGAGTTGTAGGCCAGGCCGGCCAGGGTGGAATGTCACTCCGCGGGTATTGGCCTCGATTATTTATAGTGACAGTATATGCTCCGGCGTCTGCATCCGCTTGTCGGCCGGAAGGAGGGACGCTCGGGGTCAGTGACCACGCCCATTCCGCACTCCCGACCAGGGGTCGCCTTTCCTCGCCCCGGAGTTGATTGGGCGATTTGGACGAAAATTCTTATGTTAAGAGACATTTAATAGTAGCAGTGCTCCCAGGAATCAAAATGAGTCGAACAAGAGCTGGAGACGTTCAGCAGATAAAGAGCCAATCTAATAGGCTAGGCGCGGTGGCTCACCCCTGTAATCCCAGCAGTTTGGGAAGCCAAGAGTTCGTGACCAGCCTAGCCAACATGGCAAAACCCCGTATTTACTAAAAACTACAAAAATCTGCTGTGTGTGGTGGCACACGCTGTAATTCCAGCTACTTGTCCAAAAGAAAAAAGAAGAAAGAGTGAATCTAATAATTTGTACATGTCTGTTTTTAGCAAAACACTCTATACAGATTGGTCCAGAGAGAGAGACGGGTGGGAAACAAACAAGGACCCTGAAACTACAACTCGAATGTAAATGTTTTATGAGAAGGGACTGATTCCTGAATCCATTTTTTTTTTTTTTTTTTTTTTTTTTTTTGAGACAGTCTCGCTCTGTCACCCAGGCTGGAGTGCAGTGGCACGATCTCAGCTCACTGCAATCTCTGCTTCCTGGGTTCAAGTGATTCTCATGCCTCAAGCTTCCAAGTAGCTGAGATTACAGATGTGCACTACCACACCTGGCTAAGTTTTGTATCTTTAGTAGAGATGGGGTTTCATCATTTTGGCCCAGCTGGTCTTGAATTCCTGACCTCAGGTGATCCTCACACCTCAGCCTCCCAAACTGCTGGGATACAGGCCTGAGCCACCTCTCCTGGCTGTCTTTTCTAATCCTAGAGTGAATAACTTGGGGGCCAAGCAAATAGAAGATTCCCAAGGGCAGGCGGATATGGAGTTGTGTCATTTGGAAAGGCCATCTGACTGGTGCAGGGCAAGAGCTGGGGCGAGCTGGAGCTGGAAGTCTTGGTGCTGGGAAGTAATCCACAAGCTCTTGGCAATGACGAAACCTTTCTTAGAGTCTTAGTTGGGAGACAATGCAAGAAGCTGGAAAAAGGCCATGGTAAATTGTTGAAAGGTTTAAAAGCAGTCCTTCGGAAATAATAAGGGTGTTGATGTTACTTAAACCAGAGAGAAACCCAAGGAAAGACAACAAATAATATTCAAGTATATACACATTCATTAGTCAGTATTTTTCAATAGATTATGAAATGAATCTGGTGGGTCAGGACCATTTAAAAGTAAATATAGGCCAGGCACAGTGGCTCACACCTGTAATCCCAGCACTTTGGGAGGCCAAGGCAGGCAGATTACCTGAGGTCAGGAGTTCAAGACCAGCCTGGCCAACATGGTGAAGCCCCGTCTCTACTAAAAATACAAAAATTAGTCAGGCGCTATGGCTCACGCCTATAATCCCAGGACTTTGAGGGGCCGAGGTGGGCAGATCACTTGAGGTCAGGAGTTCGAGACCAGCCTAGCCAATGTGGTAAAGCCCCGTCTGTACTAAAATAACAAAAATTAGCTGGGCATGGTGATGCCTGTAGTCCCAGCTACTCAGGAGGCTGAGGCAGGAGAATCGCTTGAACCCAGGAAACAGAGGTTTCAGTGAGCCAAGACAGTGTCACTGCTCTCCAGTTTGGGCAACAGAGAGAGACACCGTCTCAAAAAGAAGGCCGGGCACAGTGGCTCACGCCTGTAATCCCAGCATTTTGGGAAAGCTGAGGCAGGTCGATCACAAGGTCAGGCATTCAAGACCTGTCTGACCAACATGGTGAAACCCCGTCTCTACTAAAAACACAAAAATTACCTGGGTGTGGGGGTGCATGCCTGTAATCCCAGCTACTCAGGAGGCTCAGGCAGGAGAATCGCTTGAACCCGGGAAATGGAGGTTGCAATGAGCTGAGATCGCGCCCTTGTACTCGAGCCTGGATGACAGCGACACTCTGTCTCAAAAAAAAAAAAAAAAGAGAAAAGAAAATATCAGAATACATGTTAAGAATTAGAGAAAATATTGTTTTGTGAAGCGTTTCCATTTTGAGTGGCATGTATGTGTTCATGGTTGCAATGTAAGATGTTTCTTTCCTTCCTCATGGAGAACCTCTAAAAAGGGTAAAAAAAGAAAAAAAAAAGATACGTTTCTTGCTGTAGGCCACAGTAAGTGTAAACATTTGCAAATCCCTATAGTAGCTGGGTTAGACTGCATCTCCAGTGACGGCATGCATGTGCTCAGCAAACATAAACATTCGTGGAACATCTATCATGTTCTGCCAGTGCTGTCTAAGATACACATGGTGTGGGAAAACTGGGCAGTTACACCAGGCAGGAGGAGAGTAAGCATCTCCATCTAAAAGTTATGAAAGACACAAGACCACAGTGGAAAACCAGACAGAAGAACCCAGCAGTTGGAATGGGGAGGGGGAAGGCCTCATGTAGGCAAGAGGCACAGGCCTTCCTAAAAGCAAGGGAAGGAGGAGCTGAAACTGCAGTTAGAAGGTTCTAGGGATGTGAAAAGCCATGTTGGGAAAGAGAAAAGCTCACGCCATTCTTTTTTACAGTCTTCCCCATCAGTAAACTCGTCTGGATCTTCCAGATCTCACCATCCTCTCCTGGCTGGATAACTTCTGCTTCCTACAACCAGTCCTGTCTGCCTCCAGACCACGCCCCTCTACTATGATCTTTTTTTTTTTGAGACAGAGTCTCACTCTGTTGCCGAGGCTAGAGTGCTGTAGCTCAGCTCACTGCAACCTTCACCTCCCAGGTTCAAGTGGTTCTCCTGCCTGAGTAGCTCAGACCACAGGCACACACCACCACACCCACCTAATTTTTGTATTTTTAGTAGAAACAGGGTTTCAATATGTTGGTCTCAAACTCCTGGCCTCAAATGATCCACCTACCTCAGCCTCCCAAAGTGTTGGGGTTACAGTATGAGCCACTGCACTCTGCCATGCTTTGATCTTTAAAATGCAAACCTGATCTTGTCACACGTCAGCCTAAAAATCACCATGGTCCTTATTGCTCTCTTAAGTCCAGGTGCTTGATAAGAACTAGAAAACTGCCTCTCCCAGAGGTTGCAGCGGGCTGAGATTGCACCGTTGCACTCCAGCCTGGGCAACAAGAGTGAAACTCCACTTAAAAAAAAAAAAAGAAAAGTAAACTGCCTCTCCCGCAAGTCTCATGTCTCCTCTTTCTTCTTGTAGGCCAGGCTTCAGCCATACAATTCCTGAAACTTCTCTCCTATCCTTTCTTACTGCAGACACCCACACTTGCTTTCCCTCAGCCTAGAGCTTTCCCAGTTTACACCCCACCCCCACCTGTGCCCAGCCTCCTCTTCCCCCCAGGCCTCACCTAGAAGGCCTTTCCTGATTCCCTCTGAGGAGAAGGAGAGGAGCAGGGCTCCATGCTGTCTTGTGCCTGTGATTCCCAGTTAACTGTGAGTCTCCCACACTCAGGCATGGCTGCTGTGAGGGGAGCGACTCTGGCTGTCATGTTCATCTCCATCCTTTCCGTACCCCCGAACAGAGCACCTGCACACAGTAGTTCAGGATGTCTAGAATCGGTGGAGCTCGGTGGCTGATGCCTGTAATCCCAGCACTTTGGGAGGCCAAAGTGGGTGGAACGCCTGAGGTCAGGAGTTCGAGGCCAGCCTGGCCAACATGGCGAAACTCCCATCTCTACTAAAAATAAAAAAATTAGCCGGATGTGGTGGCAGGCACCTGTAATCCTAGCTACTCAGGAGGCTGAGGTAGGAGATTCACTTGAACCTGGGAGGTTGCAGTGAGCCAAGATAGTACCATTGCACTCCAGCCTGGGGGACAACAGCGAGACTTGATCACAAAAAAAAAAAAAAAAAAAGAAGAAGAGGAAGTGCTGCTTCCAGAGGGCTTGGCCAGAGCTCCGAGGGTGGACTAGTCAGTTGGAGGACAGAGCCTTGAGCCATCCACGCCTCTTTCTCATTACAGGTACCCTGATGGCTCCCGCAGCTTCTCCCTACCCTGGGCCATGGCCCACCTGCGGTCCCAGCTCTGGGCCCATCTCCTTCGAGGCCCGCTAGCTCCCAGACGGAGGCCCTCTGCCTGGTGCTGGGTTGGGGGAGCCCTACTAGGTCCCGTGTTGCTGAGTAAGCGTCCCCGCCTCTGCCTTGTGGCCCTGTGTGAGGCAGAAGAGGCCCTTCCTGCCAGCTCCACACCCCGAGTCGTGGGGTCACGCTTTAACTGGAAGCTCTTCTGGCAGTTTCTGCGCCCCCACCTGCTGGTCCTGGGGGTAGCCGTCGTGGTGAGGCTTTCCCCACTTCTCCATCCTGGGGACAGGGCAGGACCCAGGAAGGGCCTGGAGAGGGCCTGAGCCAGAACTGCAAAGGGATGGCATTCCTGCCTTGCTACCTCTCAGAGGAGAGTTCACGGGAGCAGCAAGGGCTAGCCAGGGGTCCAGGGATGCCAGGAGCATCAACACCAGGTGGCGGGGTGTGCAGGGGTCCGTTGGGGCTGGAAGCCAGGTTTGAACCTCTGAGAGGCACTGATGTGTCCACATGACCAGCCACAGCCTGGACACAGCAGGGTTCAGTGGTGGGAGAGGAAGGGCCAAGATCTGGCTGGGGCTGGGGAGGAGGATGGCTCCCCACTCGAAACACCTGTCCCCTCTGCCTCCCCATTCAGCTGGCCTTGGGTGCGGCACTGGTGAATGTACAGATCCCCCTGCTTTTGGGCCAGCTGGTAGAGATCGTGGCCAAGTACACGAGGGACCACGTGGGGAGTTTCATGACTGAGTCCCGGAATCTCACCACCCACCTGCTTATCCTCTATGGTGTCCAGGTACAGCCGGGAGTGGGGCTGGGGGCCGCCAACGAGCTGCCCGTGGCATCCCTGAGTGCACTGGCCTCTTTCGCAGGGACTACTGACTTTCGGATACCTGGTGCTGCTGTCCCACATTGGCGAGCGCATGGCGGTGGACATGCGGAGGGCCCTCTTCAGCTCTCTGCTCCGGTACTGCCAGCCACAGGGTGCAGACTTGGGATGACTGGTGGCCCGATGGGGGTCTGGGGGTGGGGCCTCATCCCGAAGTAATGTCTCCCTCTTCTGCCCTCTTTGTTGGTCCATGTCCCATGCCAGACAAGACATCGCCTTCTTTGATGCCAATAAGACAGGGCAGCTGGTGAGCCGCTTGACAACTGACGTGCAGGAGTTTAAGTCCTCCTTCAAGCTTGTCATCTCCCAGGTCAGCGGGCCGGTGTGCCCATTACACATCCTCACACACTTTCCCACGTGGACTTGCCAGGCCAGTCCTGGCCGCCCCAGGCCTGATGTTGGGCCAACAGGCCACACTGACTGGAGAAGCCCACCACGTGGTGAGGGTGTGGGGAGGGGCCACAGCAGTTCACAGAAGGGAAGTGTGGAGGCAGCATCCAAGGTCAGGACAGGCTGCTTCTCCACCGCTCTGAAACTGTATCTCCCGTGGAAAGCCTTCTCAAGCACTCAGACAAGAGCCTCTCCTAGCAAAAGCAAAATCACTTCACCTGCCTTGTCTCCAGAGTGCCTGGATTGCTGACGAGCATTGAGCATGCATAGTGGCTCTCTACCGAACACCGATGCCCTCCCCTCACCCCCCACTGACCCTGTGGCCGCTGGATCATGCCAGACACTAGTCTTGGCAGTCACTGGTGTACCCCATGTGGTTCTCTTTGTTCCGTTCCTAGAACAGAAAGCAGCAAGCTGGGCTTGTCTAGGGGAAGGACTCCACAGTTCGTAGCATTCTTGCTCAGCTCCTTCATGCCTGCTGCTCGCTTCCCAGCTGGCCAAGTTAGGGTTCCATGCTGTGACCGGTGGACGGCCACTTGGCCTCCAAGGGGCCAGACCTGGGGCCTTGGCCTTGGGAGTGCAGAGCTACAGCTGGCTGACCCTTGGAAAAGTCCTTCCTTTCATGGTGTGAATGCCATAGCCTCCCACCTTCCCTCCCACTCTCTAGGGGCTTCGAAGCTGCACCCAGGTGGCAGGCTGCCTGGTGTCCCTGTCCATGCTGTCTCCACGCCTCACGCTGCTGCTGATGGTGGCCACACCAGCCCTGATGGGAGTGGGCAGCCTGATGGGCTCAGGCCTCCGAAAACTGTCTCGCCAGTGTCAGGAGCAGGTACTGGCCTTCCTGCCCATCCTCCTCACCCTCCCCACACCGGTTCTCTTCCCACTCCCCAGAACTCCTCCCTGTCTCCAACCTGGCTTCACATTTCCTGGCCTCCGTGCAGGTTGCTAGGGCAATGGGCGTAGCGGACGAGGCCCTGAGCAACGTTCGGACAGTGCGCGCCTTTGCCATGGAGCCACGGGAAGAGGAGTGAGTCCTGGGAGGGCGAAGCACAGAGCAGATGCCCCCCACACCCTGCCCACCCTTCATGCCAGCCCAGCTGCCTCCTGAGTGCCCTGGCTTCTCTCACCAGGCGCTACGGGGCAGAACTGGAAGCATGCCGCTCCCGGGCAGAGGAGCTGGGCCGGGGCATCGCCTTGTTCCAAGGGCTTTCCAACATCGCCTTCAACTGTGAGTGAGCTATGGTGGGTGCTTGTGGGCTGGGGAGGAGCTGGGAGCAGCCAAGGCAGGCAAAGGGCCATCCTCCGTCTGCTGTGAGCCTGCATTTGCCTTGGGCCGGCAGCTGACTCATGCAGGTAAGGGGAGGGTGCTGATGTCCCAGCTGAATGACGGAGCTCCATGCAAAGCACTGCAGGGCCGCTCTCGAGGAGGCTGTGGAGGCGCCCACCCTTCTTGCTCTTCCAAGGAGGAAACCAAGGCTGGGACCAGACATGTGCCTCACCTGACTCTCCCAGTTAGCAGCAGCAGAGCAGGCCCAGGGTCGATTCCTCTGCTCACATAGGCTCAGCCTCGTCCCCCTCACTGCCTGTCCCCTCTCTCACAGGCTCAGCCTTGTCCCCCCTCACTGCCTGTCCCCCCTCACACAGGCTCAGCCTTGTCCCCCCTCATTGCCTGTCCCCTCACACAGGCTCAGCCTCGTCCCCCTCACTGCCTGTCCCCTCACACAGGCTCAGCCTCGTCCCCCTCACTGCCTGTCCCCTCACACAGGCTCAGCCTCATCCCCCTCACTACTTGTCCCCTCACACAGGCTCAGCCTCATCCCCCTCACTGCCTGTCCCCTCTCCTGCAGGCATGGTCTTGGGCACCCTGTTTATTGGGGGCTCCCTTGTGGCCGGACAGCAGCTGACAGGGGGAGACCTCATGTCCTTCCTGGTGGCCTCCCAGACAGTACAAAGGTAAGTGGGGGCCGTTCCCATCGCTGCAGGGCCCCATGCCACCCTCCAGAGCCCTGCTGGGACAGGGGACATGGGTGCCAGCCTTCTCTGGGGGCCAACTGCCGTGCAGCTCCAGGCCTGCCCAGCTCCCCCCAGGGATGCATAGGGCTAGGAGAGAGCGGGGAAAGAGCTCCTCAGGGCCCAGAACAGCCCTCCTGGCTGGGGCAGTAGTGCTGCACCAGGCGTGTGTTTGTCATCTTCAGCCTTCCAAAGGACCCAGAAGTTTTCTTAACAAGCTTTTCAAAAAAATTTTTTTTAACTGTAGTAGAGTACATGTAACATAAAATGCAGCATTTGAGCCACGTGGAAGCGTGCAGCTCATTGGTGCACTCACACTGCTGTGCTGTTACCACCCACCTCCAGCGTGCAGCTCATTGGTGCACTCACACTGCTGTGCTGTTATCACCACCCATCTCAGAACGCTTTTTTTTTTTTTTTAATGGAGTCTCGCTCTGTAGCCCAGGCCGGAATGCAGTGGCTCGATCTCGGCTCACTGCAACCTCTGCCTCCCAGGTCCCAGTTCAAGCAATTCTCCTACCTCAGCCTCCCAAGTAGCTGGGATTACAGGCACGAGCCACCATGCCCAGCTGTTTTCTATGTGTAGGAGAGATGGGGTTTCACCATGTTGGCCAGTCTGGTCTTGAACTCCTGACCTCGTGATCTGCCCACCTCAGCCTCCCAAAGTGCTGGGATTACAGGCGTAAGCCACCGCACCCAGCCTCCAGAACACATCTTACCTGGCAGAGCGGAGACTGTCCCCATGAAACTTGAGTCCCTACTTGCCCTCCCCCAGTCCCTGGCACCTACCAGTCCACTTTGTCTTTATGATTTGACAACTCAAGGGACGTCCTGTAAGTGGAGTCAGACTATTCATGTCCTTTTGTCACTGCATTTTGTCACTCTGCATCGTGTCTTCAGCTTCCTCCATGTTCGAGCCTGTGTCCGAATCCTCTTCCATTGCAGGCTGTGACATTCCATGCATGGATGGACCGTCCTTGACAGGCTTTGTGAGCTGCCCCTCCCCATTATCAGCCACTTCAGGGACGAGTCGCTGACCCCTGTCCCTGCACTCCCACCCTTAGAGTTTATTCTTTTGCGTTGATCTGAAACCACCCACTCAGCTGAACCTCTGGGGCGTCCAGAGCCGAAGGGCTGACTTTGCTCGACAGCCCGAGGCAGGCCTCTCAGATCCTCTTTCCAAGCTAAACACAAACAGTTCTACATACAGCTGTTACGGTAAATAATGAGATAGTGAATATGCTGTAACAGATCGTCAAAGGGCAAAGACCTGTCTCCGACCACACGTCGCCCCTGCTGCCCCGTCTCTCCCCGAGCCCCCTGCTCTTCCTCCACGGCCCCACCCGGTTCCTCTGTGGCATGTGTCCTTGCCCTGCTGCATGGTGCACCCTGCATGTGTGTCACTGGATCAGAATCCCTCGCTGCAGGGCCTACTGTCCAGGGAAGGGGGAGGCAGGTAGAGACCACCTCCCATTCTCAGCCCCAAACCTGACATTCCACAGACATTCCTCCCATTTCCACAGCTGCACAGACACCTTCCTGGGCCCAATTTCTGCTTGATGCTCCTCAATCTTGAGCACATTCAGACCCTTTCTGGTCCTGGACTCAGGCCTCCTGGGCAGCCTCGTCCCTCCTCCAGCCCAGACAACTGTTCCCTGGTGGCTTTGAAATTCAGATGCCCTCACTGTGATAGAGATGGGACTTGGGGATATGCGCGTGCTTCCACTGCCGGTCCTGCTCCATGCTGACCCACTTCCCTTGACCACAACCTTGGCCTCTCTGAACAAGACAGTCATTTTAGTCCTGAGGACCATAAGAAGCCCAGTGGCTCTCTTAATAAAATCACCCCTTTGCCCCCTGGGGTGGGCAGTGGCAGGACAGTCTCCCTGTGGGGAGGGTGGCTGCACTGTCCAGTCACAGCCCTCCCCCTTTGGGGTCCCCACTTTCCCTTAAGGGCCTGAGACCCTGACCTTACCTCCCATGGTACTGCTTGTCCATCCAGCAATTTTATGATATACACAAGAACCCCTAGGGGCTAGTCTGTGTTGTCTCACTGGCTGCTCCCACAGCCACAGTTCCTACACCCATTTCCTTGGGGGTCCTTCTAGCCCTGCCCATGTGGAGATTCTTCCCGACCCACCTTCAAGGAATTGGGTCTGTTGTGTAAAGGAGCTAGTGTGTTTACCACTGGGTCTTGCCAGCTAAGCCAAGGGACCACGCATCGGCGCTGGCATCAACAGAGGGGAGGCAGGGAGAGGGGAGCAGGATGGCCTGGCCTGCCTTAGGCAGCCTAACCTGTGGGCCCATCCTGAGCACTCCTGATGAAAATGGGGAGGCACCAGGACCGACAGCAATGGGGGCCCAGCCGCCTCATTAGAATCGGGGCCAGGCCCCACCTGAGTACAGGCCCACAGCCTGCCGCCCACAGCCCTTGGCCCCTGAGAACAGGGTCATCTCACTCCAATGAGTCACGTGCGTTTTGAATTTCAGTTTCTGCCGGCCCCCTTTGTCAGGCCTTAATGTCTTCCGGATCGCTGGTGGAGAACGTTCCCCTCCTCATCAGCAGATAGCTGGCTGGGCTGGCTGCTTCCTGCTGCTGCCTCCCTGCTGCCTTTAGCAAGTGCTGACTACACTGAGTCTGCTGGGACCTTTTCCCTTGAGTTTCCGGGCCCCGCCCACTCACCCCCACCCCAGTGCTGGAAGAAATGAGTCTTGCAGCTCAAGGATTGCTGGGGAGTCAGTCTTTCCTCTTCTTAAGGAGCCGACCAGGCATAGACAGTGGCAGACACACTGTCACGGGTCAGCCAGGCCAGTCAGGGACCAGTGACCAAGAAGCAGTTGAGTCACCTTCCCCAGCCTGGCAGCCGGCCAACCCTACCCCAGCCTTGCCTGGACGCAGGAGGCCACCCACTGTCTAGACAGATAACACCGTGGGGATACTCACCTGCAGGGCAAGCCCACAAGAAAAGTTTTTTTCAGGGAATTTTGTTTGGGGGTCTCCCCAGAGTTCCCCTGTGGCCCAGAGTCTCTGTTTTCTTCTTTCTCCAAAAAGATTTAACATCACTTCTCCCACCTAAATTTTAGCCAAAGTCATTGTTCCCCCAAGAGTCTGCCGCATTAGATCTGCTCTCCCCTCGTGAGCCACGCAGCCTTGATTTCTGTTCACTGCGGCGGCATCTGCATCCTCAGGGCCGCAGGGAGGTCGTGGGTCAGCTGGGCTCCCTTCCTTGTGGGCTGATGTCATCCTGCATGTGTGTACAGGCCTCACCCTGCAGACCACAGGCCAGGGCGGTAGAGGACACCACAGAGGCCTGTGCCTTCACTTCCATTTCCTCCTGGAGCAGCCCCTCCCGGGGGCCTGGGCTGGGCTGAGGGACAGCTGTTATCCCTACCCGGCTAAGGAGGGAGCCAAGGCTCAGCCATCTGGTGTCACCACGTGCCAGGGCTCCATGTCCCCAAGTTGCAGGAGCAGTCCCTGCATTTAACCCCACAGGCTACCTTGCTCCCCACCATTGGTTCCTTCCCCTTCCGTCTGGCTTGTCTTGTTCCATCTATTCCAACCCTCTCTCCTTCTCCTGCCAGGTCCATGGCCAACCTCTCAATCCTGTTTGGTCAGGTGAGTGGCCAGCAGGGTAGAGGCCTGGGGTGTGGAGTCTGCCATGTGTGTGCCGCTGTGGGAGCTGCCTGTTGACTGGGTGTGGGTGGGTGGAGAGCTGGGGGGACCCCAGCCTAGAGCCACAGCCACTCCCTGGAGATGCTGTGGCCACCCCTACTCCTGCCTCCCTTCAGACTTTGGGTCCCCTCCCACAGGTGGTCCGGGGGCTGAGTGCAGGCGCCCGGGTCTTTGAGTACATGGCCCTGAGCCCCTGCATCCCGCTGTCTGGGGGCCGCTGCATCCCCAAACAGCACCTGCATGGCACCGTCACATTTCACAACGTCTGCTTCAGGTCAGCGTGGGTGAGCAGGTACAGGGGTGGAGGTCTGGCTTAATGCCCCCCATAAACAGAGGGCTACAGAGAGACTTAGGAGGGACCCGGGCAACAAGGGCTGGGAGCCTGGTCTGACTGGGGGTCTCTTGGCTCCTCCCAGCTACCCCTGCCGCCCCGGCTTCCAGGTGCTGAAAGACTTCACCCTGACGCTGCCCCCTGGCAAGATCGTGGCCCTTGTGGGCCAGTCTGGGGGAGGTAAGGGAAGCCTTCTCTTTACCCTCTGGCTCTTCCTCTGGCAGCCACTCAGAGCAAGGTCAGGAGCAGTGAGCCCTGCACCCCAGTGGAGTCCCTTCCTCCACTGCCACAGTGCCCCTTCCTGGGACAATCCCCAGAACCCCTGGCCTCCCTCCCTCTTACCCCACTTCTGCAGGAAAGACCACCAACTCCCTCTGTCACCCCAATTCTCCAGGAAAGACAACCGTGGCTTCCCTGCTGGAGCGCTTCTATGACCCCACGGCAGGCAGGGTGATGCTGGATGGGCAGGACCTGCGCACCCTTGACCCCTCCTGGCTCCGGGGCCAGGTCATTGGCTTCATCAGCCAGGTGCGGGGCCCTCAATCCCACTGCCCATCCCCCTCTGGGCCCTGCCCCTATTGTCCTCAGGTACCTTTTCTTTCCATCCCATCCTCACCATCCTTGCTGCTCTTGGGAGACCCCTGGCTTTCTCCATATGTACCTGGCTGTCCTCTGGGCAAGGCATCCCTTCCCGGGAGCAGCCACAGCTCTGCCTGGTCTCCCAGAGCAGGGACGCTTTGTCCCAGTTTACAGCAGTCTACGCAGATGGGGCACCCCTAGGATTCTCTGCAAATCCCATAGCATCCAGGTCTAGGGGAGCCTGTGGTGGGGTTGCTGAGCCTGTAGCCATTCTCCCTCTGCTTGAGGTGGCCCTGCCCAACGGGGAGCCACCCTCCCCTTAGATGGCTGTGAATGAAGAGGGAGGCCTGCCGTCCCACCAGGGAGAGTGCCTGTGCCGGAGTAAGGCAAATGCAAGCCCCCGACCCCAGCGCCTGCTCTGCCAGTGCCTCCCAGTCCCACTCCTGGGGAGGAGTTCTGGCCCTTAGTAGGAGGTCAACCTGTCCTTCCTTTCTGGGGGCCGCTCTGCATCCTCACTCCACCTCTGACTCTGAACTTCTGATTCTTTAAGAGCTCCTAGTCTAATCCTCCAAAGTAGACTGTCCTAATGTACATGGCAGCCCTTTGGGTTTCTGGGGCAAAGAGAATGTTTCTTTGGACACTATCTCCATAACCCCTCACCCACAGGAGCCGGTCCTGTTTGGGACAACCATCATGGAGAACATCCGCTTTGGGAAGCCGGGAGCTTCCGATGAAGAGGTGTACGCAGCTGCCCGGGAGGCCAATGCCCACGAGTTCATCACCAGCTTCCCTGAGGGCTACAACACGGTTGTCGGTGGGTGCCAGGACAGGACCCCTGCTCGGGTCTGCGGGGAACCAGACGGGGAGGCATTGGGACACAGGATTCTGCAGGAGCAGTGAGCAGCCCAGCGGGACTGAGGGGAGCAGGGACAGTTGGGGAGAAAGACAGTTGTGTCCGGGAAGACCAGAGCCACAGTCAAAAGGGACAGATGCTCTGTGGGGACGGGAGTCCAGGCCCATGTGGTTCAGAACCAGCAGACCAAGCAGTCCACAGAGACAAGACAGGCTCCAGGAGGAGCTGGAGAATGCAGCAAGGGCATATGGCAGGACCCTGGCCAGGGACACAGTGACACGTGGTGTTTGGAGTCCCCACCAAGCCTAAAGGGCCACCACTTCCCCAGACAGAACAGAAGGCACGAGGGCTGCCTCCTCTCCCCTGCCCATCCCCCTTCAGCTCCTGTTGCCTAACAAAAGACCCAGGGAGCCGCCTCCTCTCCGCTGTCCATCCCATTCCGGCTCCTGTTGCCTTCATGTGCTTTTCTTCTCTAAAGGCGGTTCTCCTCATTCTAATCAGGGTGGCTGGATGGGTCCCAGGAGAGGGCTCTGGCGGTTCTGAACTAGGGGCACACAGCTGGCACTGAGGGCTGAACTAGGGGCACACAGCTGGCATGGCAGGGCTGACCTAGGGGCGTGCAGCTGGCACGGCAGGGCTAAACTAGGCATGCAGCCTGGCACTGCAGGGCAGCAGTTGACATGCAGAGCTCCCAGGTCTTCTCTTTCCAATCTTTGGGGCCTGTGTCTTGGCCAGGGTCTTGTCTCTGTTGCAGTGGGTAAGCACTTCTCAGGATGCAGAGATACTGGGGCTTCTCAACTCTGGTCAGTCCAACTGAGTCCAGCCTTCTGAGCTGTGGGGCCACTGTCCCCAGCCCAGCCTCGTGGTCTCGATTGCTCCCCCAGTCATGTTCATCCACTGTCCAGATACCAGCTATCCTCACTGGGTGCTCTCCCACATCTCTCTTGGGTGGCTCTTTTCTTGTCTCTCTGATCTTAGTACTTCCTGCTCATTTGGGCCTTCTTGGGGCTATGCCCTTACTGACCTGTCACCTGCTGTCACCTTGAGGTCTTTTTTGGCTTCCAGGCTGCCACTTGTGCTGTCCTCTGTAAGCTTTGAATCCCCCCTCCCTGGAGTCAGTGGACCCTGGAGCCCATGTTTGGGTGCTGGATGTTCCCCACAGCCACAGAGACCCGGGAGTGTGGGAAGGTGGCTGGAGCTGCAGGCACAGTTCGGGGTGAGGATGAGAGGCAGGAGGAGGGTGCACAGTGCGGGGTGGCGGGGGTCAGAGGCAGGAGGAGGTTGTACAGTTCGGGTAGGGGTCGGAGGCAGGAGGAACATGCATGGTGCTATGAAGGGCACTCCAAGGATCTTAATGGGAGTTCAGGAAGGACCCGGTGCCCCTTTGTTGGCCACCCTCAAGTGCATAGCTTCAGGCTCCTGCCATGCCCCTCCCTTCCCAGGTGAGAGGGGCACTACCCTGTCTGGGGGCCAGAAGCAGCGCCTGGCCATCGCCCGAGCCCTCATCAAGCAGCCCACAGTGCTGATACTGGACGAAGCCACCAGCGCGCTGGATGCGGAGTCTGAGCGGGTTGTGCAGGAGGCCCTGGACCGGGCCAGTGCAGGCCGCACGGTGCTGGTCATTGCTCACCGGCTCAGCACCGTCCGTGGGGCCCACTGCATCGTCGTCATGGCCGATGGCTGCGTCTGGGAGGTTAGTCAGCCGAGTGGCGTGGATCCGTGGGTCAAGGATATAACTTCATCACTGACAGTGGCACGATGCTGCCATGAGTTATACGAAGGGTAGCCTGGCCATAGGGCCTTGGGGGCTGCTCTGGAAGCAGCATCCCATGCAGAGGCAGGAGTTCCTGCATCAGCCAAGCCCTAGCCTTCAGGCCCTCAGTTTCTTCCTCTGTTTCCTGGAATAGCATAAGTGCATCAGCTCCCAGGATCAAAAGGAAGAGTATTGGCCAGGTGCCTGCAATCCCAGCACTTTGAGAGGCCGAGGCAGAAGGATCTCTTGAGGCCAGCCTGGGCAGCATAGTGGGACCCTGTCTTTACAAAATACCAAAGGGAAAAATAGCCTTTGTGGTCACATGCACCTATATACTATTAGCTACTCTGGAGGCTAGCCAGGAGGATTACTTGAGCCCCAGAGGTTGAGGCTCTAATGAACAATGATAATGCCACTGCACTCCCGCCTGGCATCAGAATGAGACCCTGTCTCCAAAAAAAAAAAAAAGGGAAACATACTCAGAAAGAGTGGTACTGGGAGCAAGGAGCAGGGCTGGCTGCCCAGGGTCTGAGGTGCAGGAGAAGCAGCACCAAGACCCTTTGCGGGAAGGCAGGAGCAGGACCCGTGAGGTTGTATGGCATTGGCTCACAGCCATTTGTTCAAGCTGAGGCTGAGGGGCTTGTGCAAGGAGTTGGGGCCTGAGTGGGAGCCTTGGGCTCTGTAAGGGGGACAGAGGGAATCGGGTTGTTTTGTGTGTGTGTGTGTGGAGAATGGGGTCTCACTATATTGCCCAGGCAGATCTCAAACTCCTGGGCTCCAGCTGTCCTCCCGCCTCTGCCTCTCTAAGAGCTGGGATTACAGGTGTGAGCCACAGCTATCGGCTGGGAATCGTGTTCTTCCAATTGTGTTCAGCTAAGTAGGGAAGTGGCCCTAACCAATGCAGCATGCCCATAGTGGCTCCTTTCAGATAGGGCATTGGTTTCAGAGTGTCCCCAGAAGGGGCACTGCCTTAGTGACCATGGGCCCAATGGCTGAGATGTTCAGCCCTTCCAGGGTTCTGAAGTCTGCACACATTGAATCAACCATCTACCCCTCCGTCCTGTCTTCCAGGCTGGGACCCACGAAGAGCTCCTGAAGAAGGGCGGGCTGTACGCTGAGCTCATCCGGAGGCAGGCCCTGGATGCCCCGAAGACGGCGGCCCCACCATCCAAGAAGCCAGAAGGCCCCGGAAGCTCCCAGTGCAAGTCCTGAGAAGAGCCCCCTGAGGTGTGGTCGCTGCCAAGCATCAGTGCTAGGGCTGGAGCTCAGCCTGGGGGGAACGCACTGGGGACTGAGCCCCCAGGAGGGCCAGCATGTGGAGAGTCGCCGTGGCTACTCCTTCTCACGATAAAGCCGGGGCAGGCCCAACCCTCCCTTCCATCCTAAGTCCTGCCGGCTGCCTCCCTCCCACTAGAGTCCACCAGAGTCACTGGGCTGCACAGGAGCAGAGGCAGAGTTCTGCAAGGTGCCTCCACTTTTCTCTCCCTTTGCCCAGCCCCCTCCAGACCTCTCAGAGATGCTCTGCCCAGTCTCCCCATCCCACCCAACAGCCTCAAGTTGGCCAGGCCTATAGCGCCAGGGAGTTTTTAAAAAACAGGGTCTGACATTGGCTGGGAACGCAAACCTAAGCTCTTCCCACACCCTTGCTAGGACCTCACTTCCCTAGACTGACTCCCTCACTGGACCCTGGGAGAAGGAGCCTATCCCCTGGCTCACCCCAGAACCCACAGTCCCCATCTTCCAAACAACCTCCCTCCCTTCTCCCTGAACGGGGAACAGTCCTGATGTCTAGATTTCACCTCCTCTTCCCACCGCTGAAGGACACAGGCCTAACAGGGCCCAACTCTTGGGTCAGGGTAGGAGGGAAGAAGCACCAGCCTGCCTGGCTGTCTTCCACTGGCCCTGCCCTGTGTGCCTGGAATCTTTGACCCACTGAGATGGTGGACCCGCCTCCTACACCAAGGACACCCAGCTCTGAAGGAGACAGGAGGAGCTGATGCCCACCTGGCGCTCTCGGCTTCCTGCCCACAGTGCTGAGGAGTACAGAGCTCAATGGAGCAGCTACTGCAGAATCCAGTGTAGAATCGGTCCAGGAGAGTACTGCTATGGACAGGCCAGTCTCCACAGCAGGGTCTGGGAGGTGCCCCTTAAAAGGGGAAGGCAAACAGCCTGAGTGACGGGTGCCTGTGGCCCTGAGACTGGATGAGGGCGAGGCTCCAGCTGGCTTCAGAGGGGTCTGGAAAGGCACACAAGTAGGGCCTTAGCTGAACTGGTGCCCCAGGACCTCATGCCCCTGCCCTGTTGCAGATGCACCAGCCCTCCCCACCTCCTCGCTGCCGTCACTTCCTGCTGGGATCCTTCCCCCATCCAGCCACATCAAGGCTGTGAGACTATATGGAGCCCTGCTCCCCTGAGCAGGGGAAGAGGGGGTACCTGCCCTGTACCTTCACAGTCAGCCAGGCATTCTGGATTTATCTGTGCAAAGAAGGGCTGTCAGTGCCCTCTTTCAGGGGTGGTGGCAGTTCGCTGATGGAGCAGCCAGTGCTGGGGAGGCCAGCCTGGAAGAGATAGCAAGTGGCTCAAGTTTGTGTGCAGGAGCCAGAGTGGGACCCACAGGCTCTTGTGGGGTATGGTTTAGACCTAGATGCTACTCTGGGGACAAGCCATCCAAAAACCCCAGGCCCACATCCACCCTGATTTGATATCCTACTTCCTGACAGATCAGAGGCTGGAGGCCCAGAAGCAGAGCCTGGGGCTGGCTCCCAGCTGCTTTGCTACTAAACCCCTCCCTAGGGCAGGCCACAGCAGCCCTCGGCTTCCTGGCGAGTCCATGAGCCCTGCCCAGGGGCCCTGCTTGTTGGCCTGACCCCTCTCTCACCAGGCAGCCAGCCAGCCAAAGCGGCTCCTGCTTCACCCCCTCAGTCACCAGCCTCAGGCTGCCTAAGACGCCTCTGACACCAGATTCTAAGGCTCTCCTTACATCTGGGCAACTTCTCCAAATGCAGCCCTCCACCAGCTAAAGGAGTGGTGGAACCCCACAGCTAGCATGCCATCTGCCTAACCTTGCTTCGGTCTTAGCTCCACAGTGCAGAGCGGGAGCCTAGCAGTGCTTGATGGGGACGCCTGTTTTGAGAGTGTATGTGGGATAATCTACAGTAAAATACTTGCAAAGTGTGGTGCTGTGCTGTAACCTATGTACTCAGTCCTTCCAGAGTGTTTATTAGTGAAGCACCTGCCGTGTGCCACTGAGCCCACTATGGGGAATGAGGACAGCCCCTGCCCCTGTGAAGCTTGTGTCCTGTTGGGAGGACAGACAGGTGGCCCAGCAGCTGCAGCATGGTATGTGCACACATTTGGTTGGTAGAACCATGTTTCTACCACTCATGGTCAAAAAAGCGCACCAAAGTCAGCCTGGCGGCCTCAGGTACTTTTTTGAGCAAAGATAGAATAGAAATAAATTTCAGTAAATAAATTAGTGGGCCAGCTTTCCCAAAGGCCTACACGGAATGTCATCTAACTCTCAGATACATGGTGGGAGACAACCGTTTAGCCAAATGCAGTGCGACACTGATGAGGACTGCCTGGCGCTCTGCAGGTCAGGGCTTCCTCCCAGAACTGCACCTCATCCCCAGGGCCATGGGTCAGCACAACGTCCTCATCCCACTACAGGTCAGCTGGCACTACCTCACAAACAGTAACTGCCTTCTGGAGGTCCCTCCCCAGCCTGGGAGCCTGCCCCGCCTCCAACCCATCACCTTCTCCCTGGATCATTGGAAGCATCTTAGGTCAGATACTGCGCTGGCTCTGCCCTCTCCAGGCTCACTGTCTCCCACCATGCAGGCTCAGGGCATGACAACCCTAGAAAAGCCCCATGCAAAGCAGACCTGCTCCCACATTACTGGTGGGAGTGCAGAATGGCATGACTCCTGTGCGGGAAACTGTCATCTATCAGATGACCAACCCAGTGGTCTTTTGGCCCAGCAGTCCTCCTGGGAGTTCACATCTGTGTTGATATGGCAACACTGTTTGTAATGGGAAGACGAAACCCCCAGTCTCAGTGGGGGAGTCATTAAATAAATGATGCTATATGCACATAACAGGTGGTACGCAGCCATTTGGAAAAATGAAGCTTCTCCAGGTCCTGGATATAGCATTCTAAGATGGGAAATCACAGGTTACCCGTGTTGTGTCTGAGATGACAGGTGGGGTACTCATGTGGTACCCCAGAGGATGGCAGGTGGGGCGCCATGTTCTTTCCACCTGGGGTGGCACGTGGGCCCATAACCATTGTGGTAGAGGCCAACATCCTCAACGGGAGGGCCTGAGTGTGGGAGCTAGGCTCTGACTCCCTAGGGAGAGAGGGACACAGGAGACAGACGGACCCTGGAAGTGGGACCTGAAGAGGGCCCTGGGCATCCAGTGTAGGCTGAGATGCTGGGGGCATAGAAAGAAGAGATCTGCTGATGCCAATGTTCCAACCACTTCCCAGGTTGGTCAAGAGCCAGCTCTGGTCTTTGTGAAGGAACAGATAATTGTAGGTGAAGCTGAGGGAAGGCCGGAGAGGCAAAAGGAGGGAGGAGCTAGGCAGGGGTCAGCGACTGACCCTCAGGGCTGGTATACAGGGGCTGCAGCTGGGAACCTAGGGGGCCCCAAGGCACCTCCAGGCCCAGTTTACCTCTGGGCTTTCCTCACGCTCTCCCCAGGATCACTGCGGTTTCCTCCTGGCGCCTCTCATCTTGGACAACCATGCCCCCCTCCAGGCTGTACTAATGGCTCAGCCTGGGGCCCCAGGGACCTCCCCTACCCACCAGACTGCTCTGCCGGCCCCCTTTCCCCCCTCACTGCTGAAACCCAATCCTCTGCGGCAGCGCCGGCTCAGCACCGCCTCAGCACGGCTCCCTCCGCAGCCCCTGCCTGCCACGGTCAGCTGCACCCCACCTGGTCTGCTGCCGAGTCCCCAGCCCAGTGCCTAGGCCAGTAGACCCACTGCGTGTTCCTCAGGAAGGCTGAGCGAGACCGACGGGCCAGATCATCTCCTCCAACCCTGCCAGGCTAGTGCCTCCCTGCCTCCCAACCTCGGCTCTCTCCCACCCTCTCCTCGCCTGGCCCCCTGAATCCTGTCTCAGCCCTCTCAGCCCCTTGACTGACCCTCTCTCACTCCTTCCAAGCCTCTGTAGCTAGTCCCCCTCCTGAGTTTTGGCCATGAAGCCCACCTCAGGCCCAGAGGAGGCCCGGCGGCCGGCCTCAGACATCCGCGTGTTCGCCAGTAACTGCTCGATGCACGGGGTGGGCCACGTCTTCGCGCCAGGCAGCCTGAACCTGCGCCGGGGTATGTGGGCAGCGGCCGTGGTCCTGTCAGTGGTCACCTTCCTCTACCAGGTGGCTGGGAGGGTGCGCTACTACAGGGAGTACCACCACCAGACTGCCCTGGATGAGCGAGAAAGCCACCAGCTCGTCTTCCCAGCTGTCACCCTGTGCAACATCAATCCACTGCGCCGCTCACGCCTCACACCTAATGACCTCCACTGGGCCGGGGCTGCGCTGCTGGGCCTGGACCCCACAGAGCACGCCACCTTCCTGCGCGCCCTGGGCCAGCCCCCTGCCCCACCCGGCTTCATGCCCAGTTCCACCTTCGACATGGCACAACTCTATGACCGTGCTGGGCACTCCCTGGATGACATGCTGCTGGACTGTCGCTTCCGTGGCGAACCTTGTGGGCCTGAGAACTTCACCATGGTGAGCTGACCTCCCTACCTATCCTGCCAGGGACCCAGAGGGCCAGCCAGTCCCTGCCCAGCACCCACAATCCCCTAGCCAGCATAGCTCCCCCAAAGCCAGGGGATCTCTTCCTTCCTACCAGCCATGGACTCCAAAACCCCTGGTGCCACTCTGTGCAGCCCAGGAAGCTGTGCTTCTTGGGGCTTTCTCTGTCTCCCAGCGCGAGGGCAGCATATGAGACCACACTGACCCCAGCTGGCCCTAGCCTGAGGTCTGGCCTGTGGAGACGCTGCTCCTGGGGCTGGGGATCCTCCCCTGTGGGACCATTCTAGGGCAGAAGACCCCTGCCTCTGCCAGGAGGACAAGATTTGCTTTCCCTCCAAATTTTCAACATACTGCCAACCCTGGAGGAGAGCCACAGCGGCCCATTTCCTTTTCCCCCAGTCCCCAGAGAAACATGGAAAAACCTGCATCCTGTGCCCTGGGCTTTGGTGGGGGCTGGAAGGCAGAGGAGCTGGGCTGATGGGCTCCCAAGAGTGTCCTGCAACATGTGCCCACGTGGAGTGTGGGGCTGGGGGCATTGAGATGCGGGCTTCAGTGTTCAAAGAAGAGGCACAAACAGAGCATGAGGCAGGGCAAGGTCCCATGACCATGTGCTTGCCTGGGGGAGACAGCGGTCACCCTGTCTGCCCACTGCAGGTCTTCACCCGGATGGGAAAGTGCTACACGTTTAACTCTGGCACCGATGGGGCAGAGCTCCTCACCACTATTAGAGGTGGCATAGGCAACGGGCTGGACCTCATGCTGGACGTGCAGCAGGAGGAGTATTTACCCGTGTGGAAGGACGATGGTAGGGAGCACACGAATGAGGCTGGGGGAGGGCATGGATTGAGTGTAAAAAGGCTAGGAGAAGGAGAGGAGGTGCCAGGGTGTTCCCCAGGACCTGTGAAAGGGGCTGGGCTGGCTCATCCCAGTCCTGCAGAGAGGGGCCTGCAGTGAGAGATCTCATCTGGTTGGGGAGGAGACCTGACTACAGGGTCTCAGGCCTCACAGGCTCCTCCCCAACAGACGAGACCCCGTTTGAGGTGGGGATCAAAGTGCAGATCCATAGCCAGGAGGAGCCGCCCATCATCGACCAGCTAGGCTTGGGGGTGTCCCCAGGTTTCCAGACCTTTATCTCTTGCCAGCAGCAGCAGGTACCCTCCCGTGTGCCTCCACACCCCCTCCTTCAAGCCCACACCAACTCGAACCCTAAACCCTTAGCTCCTCAGACCTGTCCACGGGCCTCTCCCCAGCTGACCTCTCACATTCTTGGGGAAAGCCTCCTAACCCTGTCCCCCCACAGCTGAGCTTCCTGCCACCGCCCTGGGGCGACTGCAGTTCAGTATCTCTGAACCCCAACTATGAGCCAGAGCCCTCTGATCCCCTGGGTTCCCCCAGCTCCAGCCCTCCCTATAGCCTAATGGGGTGTCGCCTGGTCTGTGAGACCCGCTACGTGGCTCGGAAGTGCGGCTGCCGAATGATGTACATGCCAGGTGAGGGGTTGGGGTCCACATCCCGTGGTGAGCTGGGCCCAGGCAGCCGGGGCTGCTCCTCAAGCCGTCTCCCTGGCACCCGCAGGCGGCGCGCCAGTGTGCAGCCCCCAGCAGTACAAGGACTGTGCCCACCCGGCCATAGGTAAGGGCAAGCCTCCCCCACCTCCCGTCCGCGCTGCTCGGCCCGGGCCCCTAACCCGCCGGGCAGGCGGCTGATGCGGCCCGGTGGCCAGCAGATGCCATGCTTCGCAAGGACGCGTGCGCCTGCCCCAATCCGTGCGCCAGCACGCGCTACGCCAAGGAGCTCTCCATGGTGCGGATGCCGAGCCGCTCTGCCGCGCGTTTCCTGTCCCGGAAGCTCAACCGCAGCGAGGCCTACATCGCGTGAGACGCGCGGGGTGGGCGGGCTCCTCCTAACCGGGGCCTCCCGACGGGGCGGGGCGGAGCGGGGCGGGCCGGATCCCTAGTGCGCACAGCCCGGGCGGAGGCAGCCTCCGCAGCCTCACTGGCTCTGGGGCTCGTGCTGGTTGCTTAATCTTTCTGCCCCCGGGGGATCCTGAAGCCCCCTCCCAGGAGTCTGTTTTTTTCCTTTTTTAAAATCTTTATTTTTAAAAAATAGAGACGGCGGCGGCGGGGGAGGGTTGCGGAGGGGGAGGGGGTGCAGGGAGCCGGTCTCGCTATGTTGCCCAGGCCACAGGCTGTCTCAAACCCCTAGCCTCAAATCCTCCCTCCTCATCCTCCCAAAGTTCTGGGACTACAGGTGTGAGCCACCACCATGCCCGGCCCCTCCCAGCGTTCTTGAAAGGAATGGGAGAACCCACAGCTGCTTCTTGCCAGCAGTGGGCACCAGGCAGTGGCCAGCACACATCTGAGGCCTTTCTTGTCCTCAGGGAGAACGTGCTGGCCCTGGAGGTCTTCTTT